TCTTATTTTCAGGGAATGTCTTATTTTTCCCAGGAAGAAGAATTCACATTTATTAATGAACAAAAATATTCCCAAGTCGAACTTAGACGAGAGTGACGTACATCCGGTGTGTCGAACTGTCGCCTTTTTTATAGCATCAACATTGGACTCGATGACCAATTAGTGCTTACTGAACCGTAGCACTATGCAAATGTCATGTGGCGTGATTCCCGGCCGACCAATTAGCCATCACCAGCCGTAACGTTATGCAAATCTGTGATTCCCAAGCCATAGTCTTATGCAAATCATGCCGTGTGGCGTAATTGTCTGCTGACCAATCAGCTGTACTTTCAAAAAGCCAACGGCCACTTTCAACCATCTGTCGATGACCGTTAGGACTAAAAAAAACTTCGCTAGGTCTTACTTTCAGGGGAGGTCTTATATTTCACAATTCAGCAAAATCTGTGCTAGGTCTTATTTTCTGTGGATGTCTTATTTTCGGGGAAACACGGTAGCAGATGAGCTCGTCGTTGCTCGGGCAAAAAGTAACGATAACAGAGATTAAGGAAAACAGGCCCCTATTTAGGCGTTACAGACGTGGAGAAAACCTGAAAAATTCCACCTGGCCAACCCGTCCGAGCAAGGAGCGAACCCACGACCAAACTCTCAGTGTTCAGGATACGAAGACCATTTGGCCACTGGTGGGTACTTTGCAATAAAGTGAAGTTTCAATTGTCGCTTTTTTCTTTCCTTAAGCAAATGTAGGTAGCGAAAGATCGCATCCAAAACGCCTCGTTTCGCTTTTGCACTCCTTTCAAAACCTGGATCATTCGCTACAATTTGATCAACGATTTCGGTTATCTTACCAAACTTTCACTAAGGAAATCTGTAAAGAAATTTTTTGGGTTCTTCGTTTACAGAATCTCTATTTTCCAGTTCCACATGAATTCCATGTTCTGCCAGTTCTTGAAGGTCTTTGTTGGTAAGGCTCTCATCAGAAACCTGCTGTAACTCCTCAATATCCTGCTCATCTATATCTCCTAATCCCGATATATCGATTAGGTTAAGTTTGGTCAACGTAACGATATAGCGATAGCTCTTCTCGTTGGGAATTCTTGGATACCTTCGGCCATAACTTCTTCCACACTTTGTGCAATTCCTACATTTATCAGTTAATTTTTGCCAAGCAAAGTCGATATCTCCTATGGCATCCGTGATGTAATAATTTTTTCAAAATAGCACCAAACAAACATAGATTTAAAGAAAGTACATTTTTAAGTTTTTGCCATCTTTTGCTGATTGGCTTGTGTTCGCAAATAATCGTATTATATACGATTATTTGCGTAATAATCGTATATATACGAATCGTAAATCGTATATATACGAATCGTAAATAATAATCGTATTATATACGAATCAATTTTAAGCTTCGAGCAGACGGCGTTATATTGAATCAGCGTTAAGTGAGGCAGCGTTAAGCGGGGTCTTATCTAAATATACAAAACTAGCTGTTACCCGCGGCTTTGCCCGCGATGATTTTGCAAGCAAACCCTATTTATATTCAGTATTTCAACTACCATAGTAATTGTTATATAACACCTACCGCTGAGAGTGATGAGAATTGCAGAGAATCAAACGAACTATTTTCAATTTGATCAATTTTCTGGAAAGTTTACAATCGTTCTATAATCGAACCAATATGCAATAACAAATTCGAATTTAAAATGGTTTGAACATTTTTAAAATCGAAATAGATAAAAATATTTATAACAATGTCTGAAATGTTATCAATTTAATACACCTAGGTACTCAATGAAGACTAAACGTAGTTGAAAACAAAAAATCGCATCTAAAATAGTACAGTATAAGCCGTTCTTCCGGTCAATCCTTAATTCTCTCCCTCTCCCCCGCGATGGAATTTCGAAAAATCCACTCTTAGTGTGCGTTTTAATGACGTATCGTAACTGTGTAGACTGCATCTACAATAGTACAGTAGAAGCCGTTCTTCCAGATAAGCTTTAATACTCTCCCTCTCCCCCCGCGGGAGAATTTCAAAAAATCCCTTCTTAGTGTGCATTTCCATGGCGTACCCTACTAATATGCAGTTAAAAACAAAAAATCGCATCTAAAATAGTACAGTAAAAGCCGTTTTTTCGGTTAAGCCTTAATTCTCTCTCTCCCCCCCGCGGTGGAATTTCGAAAAATCCCTTCTTAGTGCGTGTTTTGGTTAAAGGTCACTGTCGTCCAACTAACCTTCCCTTCATTAACCCTGCCACTCCAATTCACTCCCCACACACCCACTTATGGCCAGAGGGCAACGACTGGACGTACGAAGATCTTGTTAATGGCCACCAATCCCGCCTTGCGACCTGTTCCACAGGGACCTATAATGTTCGCCCCAGTCAACCTTGGTGGATCAGCGAATGTAGGAGGAAGTTGGCCCGCAAACGCTACTTATACTACAAATTCACCAAAAATGTTAACGTGACGAACTGGATGGCTTACAAGCATGCCAAAGCTGCACTCCAACAAACCATTCTTGAGAGCAAGCGCGACTACTGGAAACGTATGGCCAACATTCAGCATTATAAAATCAACGCCTGGAAAATAATCCGCCAGCTACGCGCGACTTCCGCCTCCCCAGCGACTCACTTCGTCCTCAATATCAACGGAGACAATATAACAGATCCACACAGCCAAGCTGAAGCATTCGCACATCACTTTATTCCGCACTCGTTCGACATCACCCTAGACATCCGCCTCCCCCCATCGACAACGCCCCGACTGACCAGGTCGATTACAACTCGCCTTTCTCGATCCAGGAGTTGAACGTGGCCATCCGTAAGGCAAGGAACACAACCCCTGGTACAGACGGCATCCCCATGTCTGCCTTACATAAGGCCAGCCAACTCAACAGAACACATCTCCTAACTAGCTTCAATCATATCTGGACCACCGGCAAAATCCACCTCAACATGAAGAAAACTACTATCATCCCCATCAGCAAACCAAAAAAGGATCCGACAAATGTTGCGAACTACCGACCCATCGTCTTCACGTCTACAATCTGCAAGACCCTGGAGAGAATGATCCTCCAACGTTGGACCCGTCTAGCCATCACCAAAAAATGGTTTAATCACAAACACCTTAGTGGCCTTCCTGGCACAAGAGACCTTCTCACTCATCTCATGACCCGCATCCACAATCTACGTAACGCCAACCAACGTCTGAACGTCATCTCCTTAGACATATGCCACGCCTACGACTCCGTCAAGCACCACCTCCTTCTCCAAAAAGCCATACAGAAAGGCCTCAAAGGCAACTCCTTCCTATGGCTTCAAGACTTCCTCACCAATAGACTCAACACAGTGAAATGGAGAGGCCTCCTGTCCTCTGAGCATGTTCTCTGTAAAGGCATCCTACAAGGCAGTGTCATCTCCCCCTTTATCTTCGCCTTATTCATGCATGACATCTTCCGGCTGGAGAACCCACACACCCACATGTATGTCTACGCCGACGATATCACAGCCATCGTCCACGCCCACCCATTACAAAATCCTCGACTCCATTCAGACTCAGTACTTCAAATTATGCCTGGGTCTTCCCCTACAACCAAAAACATTGTTACCCTCCGGGCAGCCAAAAGGACAATGATCGAACTGCGCTTCCAAAAGGTCATCATCAACCAGTACACCACGTACAGTACCTAAAAAAAACAAACGATGACCGTCTTTTCCACGAGATACTACAACATATTCACCACCCAGACGGCGCTGCCCTGGTCAAGATTCCGCTCAACCATTTCACCCGCAACTGGATCTCCCGCCACAACATCACCACCTTACTCGACAATCTCCCCCCCCGCACAACTCCCGCCTTCACACTCTCCACCGTATATCTCTCGATGACTACGACTTACAGTGCACAACAACCCTAACGACAGCATCCGTCTCTTGTTTGGGAACTGGCGCAGCCATCATCCTTTCCTCACCTCCATTGCCACCGACGGTTCCAAATCATCCCACAGAGTTTCAGCTGCATACATCGACGACACTCACAACGTCACTGCCCACTACACCCTCCACCCTGACTCCTCCATCTTCACGGCCGAGGGTTATGCCATCCTGCAGGCAATCTCTTATGCCTCTACTACCTCTTGTGACAATGCTGTCATCTGCACAGATTCCAAATCGACTCTCACTGCCTTGACTAACTATAATGTCAACTCCCCTACCATCATTCATAGCATTCACGAATGTCTCCACATCCACTACTGCCAAGGCAAACACTTACACCTTGTTTGGACACCGGCCCACCTAGGCATCGATATCAACGAAAAAGTCGACGCCCTCGCCGAAAGTAATCCGCCAACTTCTGTTAACTCCAACTATATCACACCTGAAGACCTCCATGGGGCCCTTCTCCTCGATCACCAGCAGAACATGGAAGACGTCTGGAACCACTATCATAATCGCTACAATTACCCCTGGCTAAACGACTACTCTCATACCAGCATACCCTCCATCATCGATCGAAGCATAAACGTCCTTGTTAATCGCGCCAGAACTAACTCTCTGCTTGCAAACCACTTTCTCTTCACCCGGAAAATTAAAAAAAACGGATAAATGCAGCACATGTCCCGACCAGATCGACACATCCTCGCACCGCATCGACTACTGTCCCAATTTCGACAATATCCGGCAAAAAATTCTAAACGACCATCCTCTCAGCACACCAAATAACGCCAAGATCTCCAATTACCTTAACCTCTCTCCTCCCGCCACCTGTCAGGAGGCCTTTAAAGAGTACAGGTAACCCCCGTATAACACGGCACTTCTATAGCACGGATTCGCTCTAACACGGTTCGAGAATTGGTACCATCCCCCGTATAACACGGCACTTCTATAGCACGGATTCGCTCTAACAATTTTTTGGAACGTAACTACCGTGTTATACGGGGGTTACCTGTACTCCAAAATGTTCCGCTACTAGTGGGCGCCGCCACCTCCGCTTCCAACAATAATCACCTACTAGTTATTGCCTGTCTTCACCGCTAGAGGACGGCTAGCCAGCAAACAAACGTCGATAGGACTCTAAAGCCTCGTAGCAGGCGTCCAACTTTCCACATTAAGAAGAAGATTTTGTATTTAGTAAACACTCGCTATGATGAATTAGTAGCGGAGAAAGAGCCTAATGAGTGCTAGACTCTCCATATAAAAATAGAAGAAGATGATATTAGTAGAATCAATAACAAATACGCTTCGTTGATTTTCGGAATACGCTCTACCATGCATTTTCCTACTAGAAACAACTTTTAGTGTTAAATTAAGGTAGAGTTTATTGAAATATTCATATATACATCATTTATATATACAGTATAATATATGGGCACGATTTTGTTTATATTTATAAACAAAATCGTGCCCTTTTATATCTAATATAATATAATGCCATATTTATATATAAATCTTAATTTTTTTAACATTTTAATTGATAATTTCTTTGCGAATTTTATTACCTGTTATTTTTTGGCACGTGTTTATTTCAAGACTATTCGATTAACACCGTCGATTAATACGAAATTGATTAGTTTACACGAAAAGTTCCAGTAGAAGTTACATTTCAGGTACTTTGTTGTATACATACTGAAATTTACGATCTAAAAGTAATCTTCTAAATATCAGTTTGTTAATGGGTGCATCCAGCAAAAAAAAAAAAATTGCAACACTAGCTCAGCACTGTTTGGTTCCTTAATTGACAGATGTCATAGTAGTGATCCAGAATTCAGAAACATATATGTTAAACATTTAACTTATACTGCAGTTTCTTACTTTGTACATTTCTGTGTTTGTAATTCTTTTATTCTTCCAAACTTATGATTATATTGAAGGTCAAATTGTTTGTCAAATTTTAAATTTAAACTTGCATTTTTACTTGTTTTTAAACATGATGAGTGAAATGAAAAAAATGTGTTGTGCTAAAGTGCTTTAATACAGCTGCTTGAATGATGGAGGACTGTTTCGAGAAAGTGTGTGATATCTTACGTGATGTCTTATGATGCCATTCAATCATGTAAGACCATACTTGCCAACCTTTATAATAGGGAATAGATGGGATGTTGATAGAAAAATGCTGATTTTTGAATAAAAACACTGAAGCATAAAAAAGCAAAAAAGTTCTTTATAAACACTGATATTGTATGATACTTATATTAAATACCTTTAATTAAATTAATAAACAAAATTTAATGTTATCTCTGCATATGATATCTTATAAAGCTATTGCCATAAATGCTGTCAAGAGTAAGCTTTATACTTTTAAATGTCATAATTTAAAAAAGTGTCAAATATTTTTTGGGACGTATTGCAAATCTGCATCTAGATTTATAATGTATTCCATCTTCATGTGTCATGAATCTTGATATTGCATGATGAGTGCCTCCTGTTATATGCCTTTGTGTGATGTTTTACTTTGTAAATAATTTCTTTTGTTATGGTACAATGTACTTATGACAGTTGCTATCAGTCAGCTTATTGACATTCACTACAATTATTAAGGACAACAATTTTTTTGGTTATTTCTATCCTTGTCTATTTCTTGCCATACTGAATATCTTTTCTTTCTGCCACACATAAAGCATTGGCATCATGATTAGTGTAATAATATCATATTGAAATCATTTGAGTTTGAATTAATATACCATTCAGATGTTGAATTTAAATTTTAATGTTCAAACATTGTATCAAATCAAAAATGACAACGATTTCAATGAGAAAATTATGCTCAGTATTATATGAAATATTTTTTTTTTTTTGATTCTGATGAAACCGTGTTGTTGTTATTAAGCTGATTCTTTGCAGACACACTAAGGTGACATATATCAACACTTGGCAACTTATTGACTATTTATTGTAAAAGGCGTCCCAACTGAATAAATAGTCAATAAGTTGCCAAGTGTTGATATATGTCACCTTAGTGTGTCTGCAAAGAATCATGAAATATTTTCTTTCAGTCTTTTACTTTTAAGTTCTGTCCAGTACTTTATTGTAACATATCTGGACAGACTTCCTGCAAAAAATGTTTGGGTCTAATTACAGATCTTTCAGAGCAGTAAGTTGATGCTGTAACAGTTTTGGCTGTCTGGTTGTCTTCCATAAGATTAATCAAAAGGACTTCTGCAAAAGAATATTGAATCTATCAGACTATGCTAAATAATTTTCTTTCAGTGAAAGAATAATTTTCTTTAGGTATGTGCAAGACTGAAAAGAAAACAGCTGCATAATTTGAAACTTGAAGACCTCAAAGTTCTCATTCATTGATTGAAATGTACAAGATCTCAAAATTTTTCTGTTTCTGATGCTATTCTACAAGAGAAAGGTATTGAAATAGTTAAAGAACTAAATGTATGTTAGAAAATTTTAGAGAATAATGGATGGACTAAATGGTTTAAAAAGATGCATGATCTCTTCTTTGAAAAAGTCAGTAGTGAACAGTTGCTGCTGATAATGATGTAATTGAGAACTGCAGAAAATCAGACTGAAGGATACTTTGACTCAGTCAGAATCTGATATGCTTAATTTGAAGAAGAGGGGATTATTCTATCATCTTTTACACAATAAAATTATAACATTTAAACATGAAAATGTGCTGGAAAAAAGCATAACAAACAATATTTAATGATTTTGCATGGTGCAAATATGAATGGCATGGAAAAATTAAAGTCAAAGTGATTGAAAAGAGCAGAATTCCAAGATGTTTCAGAAATGTTAAGTTTCTACCACATCATATGAAGCTAATTCAAATTTCTGGATATCTTCAACAATTTGGGAGAAGCATATTTAGAAATTAAATAAAGAATTTTGACATCAGAAAAGAAAAATATATTATCACACACAAAACCTTTTTTCAACAGTGTTGTATTTGATAAATATCTTTTATTTTCAATAATTGTACTACCTCCACACAATTGAAAAACCTAAAAACTAATGAATTAATATCGCTCCCTGTGGATATGAAATTACTATTGCAATCTTTTATAGTTATTTAAATTTCATGCATGTATTTGTTGGATTAAAATTTAAAAAAGAATTTTAAATAAAATTTAAAAAATATGTATTTTTATATAATATGATTATAATTTTTAGTACATATAACTACGAGGGCTGTTCGAACAGTTCGCGACCTTGCCTATATGCAGCGCTGCGATCAATTTAATTTTTGGCGGGAATAATTCAGCCATCCTTGCTAAAGATACGATACCAATTTCTGCTTGATTTGTCGTAAAGTTTTGCCACGACAACTTAGCAGATAGTCAATATGCACATGCTTTGTCAAAAATGGAGAAGACGGAGACTCGTGCGGTCATAAAATACCTGACGAAGAAAGGGTTGACCGCATCTGAAATCAAAGCTGACATGGATGAAGTTTTGGGAGAATCTGCTCCTTCGTAAACCACTGAAAAAATGGACAGCCCTTTTTAAATCTGGCAGAGAGAGTGTGAAACATGACCCTCGCAGCGGATGGCCGTCAACTGCTGTCACTGAAAAAAATATCGACAAAGTTTACGATTTGGTGTTAGCAGATCGCCGTTTGAAAACGCGTGAGATAGCTGAAACAACAGGCATCTCTGTCGACCGAGTGCACCACATCTAACCGAAAATTTGGGTATGACGAAGGTCTCAGCAAGTTGGGTGCCGCATCTGCTGACCGCTGAGCAAAGACGTGTTTGCACTTTGATGTCAAAGAAGTGTTTGGACTTCTACAAGAAAAACCCACGGGATTTCTTGCATCGGTTTGTGACTACTGACGAAACGTGGATCCATTACTACACTCCTGAAACAAAAGAACAGTCGAAGCAATGGAAACACCACAGTTCGCCAACACCAAAGAAGGCAAAAACAGTTCCATCAGCGGGGAAAGTGATGGCCTCAGTTTTTTGGGGATGCTAAAGGAATCATCTTTATTGACTACCTAGAAAGAGGAAAGACCATCAATGCTGTCTATTACTGTATACTTTTGGAAAACTGAAGAAAGAAATCGAAGAGGCCACACTTGAAGAAGAAGGTTCTGTTTCACCACGATAATGTCAGAATCACTGAACAAAAAATAAACGAACTTAACTTCCAATTAGTTCCACATTCACCGTACTCACCTGATTTGGCCCCCAGTGACTTCCACCTTTTTCCAAATTTAAAATAATTCTTGGTTGGAAAGAGATTCCACTCAAGTGACAAAGTCATCTCTGAAGTATTGTTTTACTTACTATGTTTTGTTTTTGTTGTGATTTTACTTTCCCAGCTGTTATGTATACATAACAAGGGAAAGTATTGGAGTCAGGTCAAATTTGACTCTCTGAGCTTTTACAAATCTCCATGTTTTGAGACACCTTGAGCCCAAAAAAGTAAAAAAAAAAAAGGGCAAAAAGATTCCTTGTGTATGGTGTCTATTTTGTTTAATATCTCAAGATTGTGTTTAGATTAAGAAACAAAATTTGGCTTGGTAGATTGTGTGTAAGGGGATTGATGCTATTAAATTTTGGTGATGAAAGGTAGTGGGGGAGGGGAGATAGAGGGTGGTCGTGTGTCATATCTTGTGTGGAGTTAGGCTCAAAGATGTTACTTGTTAGCATTTACACATCCTTAGAAAACTCATCTCTACCCTCAAAATTAAGTTTTTTGCTATTTTATAATTGAAACTACAAGGTGAACCAAAGTAGGTGGAATAGGGTTACACTATAACAATGGTGTATATTTAACTTGGTTATGGTTATGATTGAAAAATTACATCAGAGATGCATTTCAAGAAATTAATACACAAAGATACTTGTGCAAAAATGTTTGTTAAAGTGTGAAACTGTAAAATATAGACTTCAAATCTGTGTAAATAAAATTGTGTTGTGTTAGTAAATATAATTGTATATTTAATCTGAATAAATGTTATCATTTACTGCCATCTACTTTTGGTTCATCCTGTATATACGGTTTTTATAACAAAATCTTATAATAGATAGTGCCACATATAATTTTATTTATTTTTGATGATTAATAATTAAAAAGTGATTTTTAAAATAAATTCTCATAACAGTCAGAGAAATTACACAACTTGTTGCTAGAGTTTTTTTGATTCTGGTCTCAAACTTTTTCTAGGACTGTATATTATGTTTTACTTCTTAATGAACATGGAACATTTTTTTTTTTTTGTAAAGTATATTCAATGAACATCAGCTGCATTCTTATTCTGGAAAACACTATAGTTCATTTTTTAAATTAGAAAAATAGACTAGTATTTTAGATAATTTTACATAGTGATATAGGTTAGAGCTTCAAGATAAAGGCTGACTCCATCATTTGATTTTGTTTTAGTGATTTTTTGAAAAGAAAAATATGTTTTGAAAGGATGTTATGAAAATGATGTTTTTAAAGGAAAAATATGAAGATCCTGTGAAGTTTTGTTCAGGTTTAATTTTATTTTGCAATATGATACTTGAATAGCTTTAAATGCCATTAAAAATGTAATCGATTCTACCTGTTTTATTCACCTGAATAAGAACTAAATTCGAAAACGTTTGTGAAAATATTTTGAAATAAACACTGTTTTGGTTTACAGCTGAAGTAAGTCGAAAATGTAATATGTTGAGCTAAACTTTCATAATATCATAACATTAAATTTTTAATTGAAAATTATAAAACTATCAAGCCAATCAAATATTTTATTCCTTTTAGATATTTACAGACCACTAAGAAGAGAGAATGTATAATTATTACACAAGTAAGACCAAATGCTACTGAAATTATTTGAAATAAAGTTAATTATTAAAATGATTAACACACCTCTCAAAACTTCATTAGGTTCAGTGACAGATTTCAAGCATTAACAAATGTTTTTGGGCTTCTTTTGAGTCCTTCAGGTTTTCTGTATTCTATGAATGTAATACATATAGAAAAACCTAACTGAATTTAACTTTCTATGTTACTAACAAACTATATTGGAGTTGAACATAATTTTCTTACTTTAACACAATGATTTAAATTTTAGTTTGAATTCAAATATTTTAAATTTGAAAACTTAAATTTTGTTTTTTAGAATTATTATTAACAATTATAGAACAGTAATAAAATATATTTTGGTGACAACTAATTAATCCTGTTTTTAATATATTACAGTTATTTTAAAGTTTAAATAAAAATTTAATGGCATACAGACCCCAAGGATCATGTCATCAAAATTCCAGAATGCCATTAGTGAGACCAATGGAGTCTTGTCCAAGTACCAGAAATTATGCTCCTATTATGTATGGTTCCCCACATAATTGGAATGTTGCTTGTCATCAATTTCCAGTTCCAATACCTGCACCTTCTGTGCAGACTAACATACCAAGTAGATCAATGAATTCAAGAATGATATCTCCTATTTCTAATAATCAGCCATATTGGCAAAACAGTAATATAAATTATGATGCAAATTCTCCTTGTTGGCCTTATCAACAACCATATAATTATTCTAATGTTGGTTCTATTCCAGGTAAATTTTCAAGTTTTTATTTTAGTTTGTTCTTTTATTAGTTATGTTTTTAATGTCTCCTAAAAGACTATTTTAATCAAAAAGTTCCATTTCAGGGCATCATGTTCACTCCCTGTGTAATCTTACATGGGTATTGTGGTATAGCATTAACTATAGAATATGATAATTGCTTTGAAGTACAGTTGTTGTTATTGTTGGTGGTGATGGTGATTGTTAAATTTTTGTTTGGTTACTGATTTCAAACAGATTCTAAACAGATACAATTTCTGTCAGATGAAGATTTCAGCTGTGCAGAGATTTGCCAATAGATGATTGCAATTTACAGAGATATTTGTGTGTCAAAAATGAGGACACGGTCATTACAGAGATGCACACACAAGCATCTGTAAATTGTGATTATCCTTCAGCCAACAGAAACTGTATAACTGCTCTTTGGTCTTCTTTGGATGGATTTGGAATCTATTGCGCCATCATTAAACTATGGTTTCATTTGGACAGATATGGTACCTAGTGTGGAATCTATAACCAAAAAATTAACAATTACTTCTACCATCTATGACAATTGTACTTCAAAGCAATTTTCATACCTTTAGTTACTATTACGTTACAATACCAATGTACAGATCACACACAGTGTGAATACAATGCCACAAATAGAAACTTTTTGACTTCACCATATATTATTCTAGGAAGTAAGATTGCATCTTGATTCTAATCAATATAAATATTATAGTTAAAAATTTAATTAATAAATTTTAAATTTTTTTGCAGTTGTTGGAGCTGGAAATGCTCATTTAGATAATTATTCAAGATATCCATCTCCTTCACCATCACCATCTGTTATCAGGAAGACAGCTGGGTAAATATAATTAATTATAATTAATTTTCATGATTATGACTGATGACTGTTATATTGATTTGTTTTTGATGTACTTTATTTTTTATTGCTTTAATTTTGTTTACATAATTTATTTATTAATTCTACAAAATTAATGATAGTTATGAAAAAATCTTGGTGAATATACGGGCATCTACATGCATTATTAGGCACTCTCTTGTACCTAATTGAATAAGAATAATCATTTTAGTTATTAATGAGATTATTAATGTCTTCAGATCTTGATAATTTGGCATCAAAAACTAGTATCTTTCAAATATATGATTTGGGAAACATTAAATTTTATATTTGAACTCATTATAATCTTTCAAAAATGACAGGAATGCCATTGATTCTAAGACAATGACATTTTAGAATTGAAAAAAAATACAGTATATTTTAAATAGTAATGGATTTATTTTTTCAAAAAATTTTAACAAATGTTTAGGTTGTTCTGTGAATCTTAGCCAAATGTATACAGTATACTGGCTTTATACAGATTCTTGATTTAGCAACTCATTATGATATCAATAGAAAAGGCCCTGGTCAATCTCTCATAAGATCTGTTTGACTATTAATATACAGTGGAACCTTGGTATACGATCTTAATCTGTTTCTGAAGTTTGGACTTATACTGAACAGGACATATACCAAACTAACCTTTCCCATAAGAAGTAATGTAAAAATGATTAATCTGTTCTCATGTAAAAAAAAATGGCTGGCTTTAAATACCTTGCTTTCCTGGCTAGTTCCTGCTTGATTTTTCATGAGATCAGCATGTATCTTTTTAGCTTTCTCGCAAATAATTGCTTCTGATATGCTGTCACTAGCACACTGTTTTTCAGTTATCCAAAGCAAAAGCAATTTCTCTAATGTTCATGATCTAATGTTTAGAAATTGATTTAACCCCTTTTGAAATGTTAGCAGATTTAATAATGTCTTTATTTTTTACGATTGCCAATATTGTCATTCATGGAATACGGTATGCAGCAGTTAAATCTTGAACACGCATGCCACCTTCATATTTCTCAACAATCTCTCTTTTTTAATTCCATTGTTATTCTAATCAGTTTTTTATTTTTCTGTTGCTTTTCATTTGCCATTTTGCAATTCATGATTAATAAAAATAATAAAATTGTACTTACAAATTAAAATCAGAAGAAATTTAACAAAGTTATAAACCATGGCACCGCGAATGTCTAGTCTGGTCTAGTACACCAATAGTGTTACTTGTTCATAGATGGCGTATATAATTGAATTAAGTTGTATACCGAACAAAAGTTGTATACTGAGCAAAATTTGTTTCATCCAAACAGGATGTATTCCGAATTGGACGTATTCTAAAGTAGTCGTATACTGAGGTACCACTGTAATTATAATGCCTCTATAAATGGCTAGAATCTCAATTACTTTTGAACATTGAATCAACAAACATGAAAGTAAAAACAAATCATTCTCTTAGGTGAAAATATTCTTTAACATTTAAAAAAGTTTTAATTGAAATTGCATATATTGTACATAAAAATACTATATAAATAAATATGATATTAATAATGAATTAAATGAAAAAAATTACAATATATGAATTTGAAAAACCATTATAATTTCTCTCAAGACATGATAATTCCCATAATAAAGCACATGCACATTTGTGGTATATAGTAACTGTCACTTGATTGCTTGAGTTTTTGTCTTTCTGATGAATTATTATAAACAAATTTACATATAGTGGAACCTTGCTTAACGAGCATCTCACATAACAAGCAAAACAAATTGTAAAAAAATGACTTACTTAACAAGCGACATTTTGCATAACAAGTGATGAGGAGAGGGGATGTCCCAGATTGTGTGCATGCTCCATCAATCTGTGTTTAGCACTCATTTTGCTAGCATCTTAGTGTTGGCAAATCACATCTAAATTCAAAATTTCCAGCAAATGAAAGTCAAAAACACATATCGAACGTTTTCGGCCACTAAATTTATCAGCCTTCCTCGGGAAATATCAACTGGAAAAACCATTCTATAAATAGAACTTAGCTGCCTTTTAAATTTTTTAAAAGAATGAAAACAGCTGTGACGTATTGTGTATGACATATATTATGAGTCTAGATAGCATTTCCACACTGATGATACAGGAATGACATCCGTGTTGATGCAGTTTCCATTCATGCTCGCCTTGTAGATCTCTATTGCTTCTACAATTTTTATATTTTGCCTGTTGAAAACCTTGTGTATTAGTTTGGCCTGGTCCCAACGGGAAAATCCTCAGATCGCTGGCATACCGTGCTAAAGCCGTACTGATGTTACCTTTTAACACGTCATATTTGTGACCAGACTAAAAGATCACAAATCATCAACACGGATGTCATTCCTGTATCATCAGCGTGGAAACGCTATCTAGATTCATAATATACATCATACACGATACATCACAGCCGTTTTCGTTCTTTTAAAAAATTTAAAAGGCAGCTAAGTTCTATTTATAGAATGGTTTTTCCAGTTGATATTTCCTGAGGAAGGCTGATAAATTTAGTGGCCGAAAATGTTCAATATGTGTTTTTGACTTTTATTTGCTGGAAATTTTGAATTTAGGTGTGATTTGTGAATATTACAGTTCCAGTTTATGGTGAGGTTGTATTTAATCTTAGGTGTTGCTTGTGATCAAACATTTTTCCAAACTTGTGTTCACACATATTACATATAAACATCAACAACCATTGCTCATTATATAATAAACATGCCAAATGATATGCCAAATTCTTGGCCTATATAAAGGCTATAATTAAATATTAGAAATTAATTAATTTGACTAGAGGTAGGCAGTTATGGTTATGCTGCCATCTCATATTAAATTTAATGACCAATTCCAAATTAAATTTTAAAAATGTCTAAATTAAAANACTAGAGGTAGACAGTTATGCTGCCATCTCATATTAAATTTAATGACCAATTCCAACTTAAATTTTAGAAATATCTAAATTAAAAGTTAATTATTTATAATTATTAAATTTAATAGCCCAAGAATTTATATCAAACAATACGTTTGGCATGTTTATCAGATACATTATCTGCAAATCAAATTCACATTTCAGGTTGGTTCATTCCATGCTAGATGAAAAGATGATGATGATTCACGCTCCTTAACAATGTATATTTAATAAACATTATACATAAAATATTTGAGTATTTTTTTTGGCATGGAACCCATTATCATATTTCACATTAATTTATATGGGAAAATCTGTTTTGCTTAACGAGTGTTTTGCATTACAAGTAAGATTCTGGAACGAATTATGCTCGTTAAGCGAGGTTCCATTGTACTGATATTTTTCTCTACTGTTTAAACTAATTTTTAAAATGAAATAATAAATTTAAAGGATAGTTTTTAAAATTTTTCATATTATGTTATAATTTGATTATTGTTATATTTTCTGTCGTTATATAGCACAGAAAAGAGCATAAAAAATCTATTAGCCTTGACATGCAGCTAATAATAGGCAATCGTTATCAGCTATTATCATTAGTTTTAATGAGTGCTTTAAGTGTTAGATTTTTAATCATCATTTAATCACAATACAATAATTCAAATTGCTGGAATTACACTAGCTGTTGTTAGGTATCAGAAAACAATAATGAATTATATGTTAATTAATCATAATTATAATTATCAAATATTTATTATAAATTTTAAAATTGTTTTAACATGTCCTTTTAGTGTTAATCAATGAAGCCACAATTTCCTCTAATTGTATTTTTATTTACTTACTCTACTTAATGTTATCAGTTTAGGCAAGTTTAAAAGTGACTAGGACAAGTAGTTTACTCTATGTGTATATGTATATATAGCATATATCGATATATTTTTTTCCTTTCTTTTATAGTGCATATCCTCCTAATGTTGCTGTGCCTACAGTTAATAAATATCCAGATAAATGGAAAGATGCAGATAGTTGGTTTCCACCATTAAATGATAAAACAAAACAGGAAAATACAAAAATAGAACAGCATAAATTAGATCATGTAAATAAAGAAAAGAAAAGTCCAAAAGACAGTGTACAGCAAACTCCAAATAAAGCTCTTGATAAACATGAAAATTTGTCTGTGAGTAAAGATAGAGGTACAAGTGAAAGATATCGAAGTAGAGAAAGAAGGCATCAAAGTAGAAGTGTAGATAAATATAAAGCAAGAAGTAGAAGTAGGGATAGACAAAGTGGAAGATATAAAGAAAGGGATAGAAGCAGAGATAGGAAGCGAGATCATTCTGATCATAGAAGTTATAGAATGTGTGAATCTTACAGATCCAGAAGTAGAATTAAAGAGAAAAGTAGCAGGTATTTCTATAATTAAATTTGTTTAAGAATTAAAGTATAGAAATTAGAAAGTATAAGGATATTGCAATAAAATATGAACACACAGTTTATTTAGCAGCACACAAGACAATTTAATAAAAATTATTTTGAGATTTATTTCAATAAGTTTCATTACATAAAATGTTCTGAATAAATTTATAATTCTTCTGAATCTTCAACTAATAAATTGAATAATTCTTATATTTTTAAAGTTAAATATATTTTAAGTAAAAATTTATTGTAAATAATTATTTTTTTAATCTTTAAAAAAATATTTATATGATTAGAGAAGAAGTAGCAGGGGCAAATTCTCTGGTTTTGCTTAGTATGTGCTGCATGCTTAAGAGAAAGTTTTGTAAGGTACTAATTAATTTGAGATGATTGTTAAACAAAATGATTTTTACATGATTTAAACAACATGATTGTTAAACATGATTGTTAAGCAACATGACTGATGATTTTCATCATCAGTAGACTTTAAACATTTATTTTTTTTTTTATTAATTAATATGTACATTTGAAAAAATTCTGATTTATGGTTTTTACAGATTTAAAATAATTTTTAAATTAAAATATTTTAATATGTATTTTACTTATTTCACTAAAAATACAATAATTTCTTATTTTGCAGATTGTTTTAAATTAAAGAAATGGTTTTTATAATTACAATTAATGTTTTATTGAATTAATGAAAACGAAATAAAATAGTAACAAATATTTAATTATTTTAGCAAAAGTAAAGAATGTCATAAAATTCATCATTCCAAAAAACATAGAATTGAATCTGTTTCTACTGATGATGAGAGTTCTGATGATTCTTATGATGATGATATTATTCAAGATGATTCGCTTAAACCAGAGAGTAATGCTTGGATTCGGAGTTCTCCTGCAGAACTTTATTATCAAAAAAATAGCAAGGTAAAAAATATTGCATGTTATTGGCTCTACTTAAATATTTTGATTTCATTATTGTATTCTTCATAGGATGTAAAAATAACTGAAGGTACAGCAAAATTAAAAGTATTACAAGATCGCTTTAGACATGAGTTAGTGGAAAGAAGTTCAAGAGTTAAATCATTGAAAGTTACTTATGAACCACCGCCAAGAAAAATTTGCTTAAAACTTCCTAAACCACCAAGTAATGTGGATATTTTTATATTTGCTTATTACATAACAATATTTATAAAACATTTATTTACACTTGTAGTTTTTACATATTTATCTAAATAAATTTTTATATAACCCACTATAAATAAATAAAATTTTTCAGTTGTACTTATCACACATTTTTTTACATTATTATCTGTAAAGTTTTTTAATGTACAGTGAAATCCCATTAATACAAAGCTGAAGAGATGTAAAAATTGATACTTTGTATTAATGGGTTTTGCATTAAGCATATTTTATGAAAAATCAATAGTCATAAAATCCAATGGCAAATGCCAAATTTTCAACCAGTTATTTCACTATATTTTATTTATATATATTTAAAAATAAATAAATACATTTGTGTGTTGCTTCAAACATACATTTTATTGATATACAGTGTCTTGAAGAGAAACAATGCTCATTTTTCAACATTTGTTAGAGTTGATAGAATGATTATTAAAGCTCTTAATTAGCTTGCATTTTAGGTATTTTTTACTTGATAAAAACATAATTGAGTGGATATGGTAGGATGGATAGTGTTTATGTTACATGATTGTGATTAATTTGCCAGTATGAGATGCAAGCACTGGCGTAAAGTTCATAAAATATAAATTAGAATTTTTCTGCTTTGTTTATACTGTAATGTATAAATTATATTTTTGTGTTTTTGTGTAGTTTGGTTTTTTTATCATGTATCACAATATTCTACTCAACATGTAAAAATCTGGAATGTGCATTTTTAAAACTTCTTGTTTCAAAATTGGAACATTGTAAACCATCATGAAGTAAGTGGCTTTGTTTGTAAGTTGTAAAATTCAAGTATCTCCTGAAGAAGTCAATTAAAAAGACCAAAAATGTTAGAATAATAAACACTCACTGCATGATAAATTATTGTATATTGTGGTGTTCCCCATTGAAACTGCAAACTAGTCAAATAGTTACCTGAAATTTTCAGATTAGCATTTTAATTTAAAAACTTTAAAAATTTATTAACTAGACAGTGATGTATATAGTGTCCAATGTTTTCAAATTATTAAATTTATTGTGATTAATCTAAAGTTATATAAAAAAATGTTGAATGTGTTTTTTTGGAAATAGTGTGTTAAGTGCTACTTTTGAGAATATATGTAATAATCATTGAATATTCTATTCTATCATATATACCTGAACTGATCTGACATTTGAAATTCAAATTATTATTTGTTCAACTTATAAGATAATGAATCGTAAGCATATCGTCGTGTGAGTGATACTATCTGGAAACATTCAAACCCTTCATTGGTGGTTCATACTGAATAATTATCATTTGCAATTTATAATAATGAGAATGAAAGATTAAATCATTTAACAATAATTATTCCAGGAGATTAAAGAAATTTCAAACAAATGTTTAGTAACCAGTTCAAACTGGGAAAACTATAATACTAGGAAGAGTTTGGGATATTCTTCATGCAACACATTATTAGTGATCTTCTCTGGAACTGTATTAGACAGAAAAAAATGATGCTGGTACAAAAATTTCCATAATTGATAAGTCAGGTTAAAATGGAAAAGTGTTAACTAAAAGTGCATTAATCAAGACTATATTTGTTTTTATTTTAATATCATTCTAGGTTGTAATGTTATAGTAGCAAAGTACTACTGTATACATACACTTTGAAATTAATTATGGATTTTCCTTTTTTGGTATATATTTTCATTAACACCAATTAACAAATTTTTCTAGTAAATTCCAACTAATTTCTGTTAGCAGCTTTACAAATTCCTTGATTTCTGGATTACCATTCTTGAAAAGTATTTATCAGGAAACATACATATAGTAAGTACTTGAAAAATATTTACTAGAAGCATGTTTCATATATGCATGTTTTTATACTTCTAGACAGAAAAGAAAATGCCTTCTGTATAAAAAAAAATTATTGCAGAGAAAGCATCTTTTATACTTTTTAATTATTATTATATTATTATTTATGGGTTTAGTAGGTTATACTTGGTTGACCCCAGTGGCTGTGTACTATGCCAGACCAGAGTCAAGGCATAGTAACCAAAACAAGATAAAAATTAAATAAATTTGTCAGTGTGTCTGTCTGTAGTCAGGAATTTCCTAACAATATATATGTATTCAATATAATGGCCTTCTGTAGTGTGATGTATATGTTTCTTTTCAATTGTAATGTTCCCAGGTTTTTGTTTACTGTGTGTGGTATGACACCTGTAGAAGATAAGGCATCTGTGGAGGTACAATAAGCACCCTATCCATCCTCCATAGATGCCTTATTTCCTGGGCAAGTTCTGTGTACTTGCTGATTTTTGCAGTGCATGTGTTTTGTACATTGTGAGTGTTTGGAATAGATATGTCTATAATGTATGTGATTTTATTGTGTTTGTCAATAAGTGTGATGTCTGGTCTGTTGTGGTAAATTGTTTTATCTGTGATTACGGCTCTGTTGTAATACATTTTGTGCACGTCATTTTCCAATACTGTCTGTGGAATGTATTTGTAATATGGTTCATGGATGTCTAATAATTTGTGCTTCTTTGCAAGCTCTTTGTGTATTATATTTGTTACTTGATTATGTCTGTGCCAAGAGCTTGCACTGAGAAGTGATGTGTTGTATAGTTTCTGGGATGATGTGACATTTTTTGCATGTATCATTTGTGAGTGTTGTATCTTTGAGTATGTGTTTTGTAGTTTTTAGTATTTTTGACCTGATCCTATATGGCAACCATGAATCCTTTTGTCTGCCCAAAGAGGCATTCCCGATCTAACCAGCTATTTGATGCAGTTTTGTCAACAAAATCCTGGACCAGGTCATAAGGAGTGCCTTTTGAGCCCACGATTGCTTAATGGTGTCTATGCTTTTTATATGTTGTGAGTGTAAATTTAATGGTGTATTATTTGAACCTGCTAGAGTTACTGCTTTATGTAACTGTGATGTTTCTTGCTTTTTGTAGAAAAACTCTCTGTGTCTGTGTTTGTAGTGAAGGTTAACTATGTCGATCAAACCACATTCGCCACTCTTTACGTAGAAGGGTTAATCTTTCTGTGGCGGATTTAGGATGATGATGTTTATGCTTAGTAAGTGTTGTTCTTGTTTTCCTTTGGAGTTGTTCGAGATCTGTGTGAGTCTAATGTATAACTCCAAAAGAATATGTGAGTACTGGGACGACATACGTGTTTATTGCTTTAACTGTGTGTTTTGCATTTAACTGTGTTCTGAGGATAGCATTTAACCTACTTTGGTATTCTTCAATTAATCTTTGCTTTATTTGTGTATGTTCTGTTAGTTTGGCCTGTTGGAATCCTAAATACTTGTAGAACTCGCCCTCTTCCATGGATTCAATAACGTCT